TTTAAATAGTTTATAGTAATTTAAACTAAAATAATATATATAGTCATAACTCATAATTGTATTAATATTTTCTACAAACCTAATATAAAAATAAATTTTAACAAAATCATGTTTTAAGAATATCATTTATAAAAAATCATCTCATTTTCATCTAGATAAAATTGATTTTATCTGTATCTATATCTAGATATATTTTAATTAATCATTATCTATCTCTATCTAGATATATTTTGAGTTCATATATCTTATCTATATCTAGATACAAAAAAATTATCTAAGCACAACACTGCCCATTAGTGTGAAGCCACGGACCCCTAGTTATAACTTAAATTGGTCCGCGGACCCCTTTTTTGCAAATAATTACTTTTCAATATGATTTAATTTTTAATTTTATAAACATTTTCGTAATATAATAGAAACAAATTTTGTCAAAAAAAAAAAAATATATATTTATAAAAAAATTATTTGATTAAACACCTTCAAACTTTATGAGACAAGTGAAATCTTTCTTTTTTGTTCATAATTTCGTCTAAGTCCGACTGCGTGCTTGATATTTTAACTCTTAAATCAGCATCAATATAAAGCCTATTACGATATTTGTTTTTCATGTAACAGTAGGTAGAAAAAGCTTGTTCACATCTATATGTTGTGCAAAAGGGGATCAAATGTCTTAAAGCTTTCTCAGCCAGTTGCTTTTGATCATTTTGAACAATTAACCAAAAATGAATTAGTTTTTTATCGTCGAAAATATTTTTCATCTTTCCATTAGTTACTAAATCAATTAATTCATCTTCTTCCTGTTCAGACAGATTTTCTATTTTTTCAATATCACAGTAAAATGGATTTCTTATCCACGTATTATTTGGGTCAGATTGATGAAAATATTTTCTTAATATTTTGGCCATGCTCAACAAGCGTTCAGATATTTAACTCTTTATCTCCTGTGATAGACATTCACACGAAGATTCCAAAAAAGATTGTAATGTCGGAAAGTTACTGAAAGAGTTCTTTTCAACACGTATTGCCCAAATTTCAAACTTTTTTATAGTTGCTTCGATTTTATCCTCAACGTGAAAAACGTCAATATAAATTCATTTTAAACTCAAATTTAGTGTATTCAAACACATCAGCCAAGTAAGCTATCCGAGAGAGCCGAGAAAAATCAGTTAACAAGCCTACAAACATGGTTTCGAGAAGAAATACTCGAACTTCGTCTCTTAGCTCAAAAAAACGCTGAAGAATTTCTCCACCTGAGAGCCATCGAATTTCAGGGTGCAAAATAAGCTGTACGTGGTCACTTCTCATGTCTTTGCAAAGGACTTCAATATTGTAGAGAACGTGATTTAATTAGGTTTATAATTTTCACAACTTCCTCTAAAGTTGTTATCATGTGTTCTGATAGACGTTTAGCAACCAACGCTTCCCTATGAATACAACAGTGAGTCCACTTTACTTGAGGTGCAACTTCTTTCACACGACCCAACAATCCAGTTTTGTAACCTGACATTGCCGCTGCACCATCAGTGGTTATTCCAACGTATTTTCCCCACCTAATGCCATGATCTGTAAAAAAAACTTATCAATAGCTTCAAATATATCTTTTACCGAAGTATGTAGGAGCTCGCATGAAAACAAAAAATCTTCAAATAACTGTTTTTCCCATGTAAAACGGACAAAAACCAACATAGATGACTTACTTGCTATGTCAGTACTTTCATCTAGTTGCAATGCAAACTTGTCACTTGTAGATAGCCTTGTAAATAGTGTTTCTTCAATATTTGCAGACATATCAGTAATTCTTCTTTGAATAGTATTATTAGATAGGGGGACAGAACTAATCAACTTTGCTGCAGATTCACCTAACATTGTTTTGCACAGGACAATTGCAGCAGGAAGAATTATTTCTTCGGCTATGGTATGAGCCTTACCAGATTTCGCAACAAGTTGAGCGACTTCGTACGAAGCTAAAGTGGCATTTTTATTACCACTTAAATTTGCCGAAGATTTCATCACTTTTTGTGATTTTTTAAATTCTCCTAACTTGACTACAAAAAAATCCAAAGACTTACTAGTAAATTCGCCATGTTTTTTCTCAAAATGGCGTCGTAGTTTGGAAGGTTTCATACTTTAATTGGACAAGATCTCCAAGCAAATAATACACTGTGGTTTTGGTTCATCTTCAGTCCAAGCAAATGTATATCCTAATTGTAAATATTCAGTGTTATACTTTCTCACTTTAGTTCCTACGGTACTCTTCGAGTCTACATTACGGCGATTTGAGTCTGAGCTACTATGTTGATCACTGATCAGGACACTAAAATAAATTTATTATTGAAATATTATCAATAAAAATACAGATAATCTGTAAAATTATAAAATATAATTTGCGCAATACTTAATATGCACGCATTTAACGACAGATTAATAAGTAAAAAAGTTCTTTTGATAAATAAATAAATGAATGAATTATTTACTTAATCTTTGTTCATATCATTCACAGTATTATCTTCTTCTATTTCACATATAGGCCTTTTAAATGAACCAGATTTTAACCACTGATACATTATGGTTATTCGTTTAATTTTGAAATACAATGTATAAAAAAGGACACACGGCACTAATCGCTAACTAGTAATGACTGAGACTACTAACTTATACTAATGTTGATTATTTACTTTAAATTATATATCCGAAATATATTTTATTGGTTAATGGAAAGAAAATAATCAGTATGGTTTCACGTTCTGAATTATAGTAATAATAGTGTAATAGTGAAGATGATAATGATATTTATTTCTATGAAATTGTTTATCTATTTTTTTCGCGATAATCGAGTTTCAATAGTCCATAAATACTCAGAATTTCATATTACAACAAAGTTAATTTCACTAAAATAAAATAAAAATATCACTACAAAACAACATAACCGCGGACCCCCCGGGGGACCACCAATTGGGAACCGCTGTTCCAATGCCTCATTTATGGCAATTATTAGCGCCGGTGTAATTTTCGGCATAATGATAAACCTACTCCTACGAACCGACTAGTGCAAATGATCGATCTATAAGTCATAAGTGTCTATTATTAATATGTGCAATTTGATTGCGATGAATATGTTTATATATTATTGATACAATAATTATGGGGTTGACCTTTTTTTTAAAAATATTATTTAGATATATGAGGTGGAATACGCTTGACGGATACGTTTTGTATAGCTCATTCATCGGAATACGCGGCGTTCGAAACGCAACGGAATCCGCCGTGGGGCTATCCCCAGCCTTATACAGTAAAAACTATATTAATTAATATTATATGAAATGTTTTCAAACTGATTATTATGTCTTATAAATAAAAAAAATCACACAATACCTACACATTCATAATTAAATAAACATATGTGGGTTATAAAATAAAATAAAAATCGCATATTATGTGCCTAACGCATTTCCACAAATAAATATTAAATCATGATTATAAAATCTAGCATAGGTACTCACCTTTTTTTCTACTGTGTAGGCATTTTTAGTAGAAATCTTAGAAATAAAGTTACCCGTTTGATGTTTTAATTAATTTAACTTTAATTTTGCTCAAAAGCATCCACGTTTATTCAAAATCAACTAATAATATTTCTTTATAATCCCCGTTAAATAAGTTACTATCGCAGGCAGCTGAAGCCGATTGAATAATAAATATACCTCCATTGGTATAGGTACCTATTGTATAAGTACCTACATGTATGAAGTATTTCATTCCCCACTCATTAACACTGCATACACAGTATTATTAAGTTTTTATTAGAACTTCACACAGAGTTTTTCAAGCATTTAATAAAAATTTCGTAAACAGTCTTATTGAATTTATTTAATAAAAATATTTCATTTGTACATTTTATGGTGTACAAATGCCTTGATCATTTATTTTGTTATACTGTATAAATGAGACGTTACCTAATTAGGAATATTCTATCCCTCTCCCCCCCCCCCCCC